CTCCTCCCTTTCCACGAAAATGAATTTTCTGCGTTTTTTACACATATTAAAATTAAAAGTTAATCTTCTATAATAAATATATTAAATTGCACAATAAACAGTATTTTAAAAAATTTAACCAATAGTATTTCAATAACTTTTTTTAAATTTATAATCTTTTAGCATTCGATGATTAAAATGTATTGAAAACAGTAAAAACAATTATCTATGTAAAACAATTTTTTTGTATCTGTAGCGATATGATTGGTGATTATTTGGATTAGTTAGAGCAAATTGGGGAATGCATAGAAAAAATAAGTGAAAGGCCTCGAATTTTTTTTGTTTCAAAACATGTGGAAAAATATAAACATTTTCCGCTAATATTTCGTTAAAGTAGCTAAATATTTTTTCAAATTATGCGTGTTTTTACTGACAAATTACTTAATGAATTTCTTTATTAAAAAAAATTACTTAACGAACACATAATATTTTATTCTAAAGTAGTTGCGAGTAATACCCTACATTTAATGCACAACAAAAAAGACCGGGGGAAATTGTCAATTTGTAATATTTAATTATTTAGTTTAGGATGACAACACTCTTTAGCCATTCAAATTCTTAGATCATCATATATTAAATTGTTAAATAGATCAATATCTGTAAATTTTATTTAATTAATATTCGATTCTGCACAAAAAAAAGACATTCTTTGTCGAGTTTATAATTTCAATATAACTAAATATTGTACAAATAGTGAATTATAAAATAAATAAATTTCATAATTTGTAAAAATAAAATATTCGAGTTTTTTTTTTCAATTTGTAAAGTTATTCAAAATAAATAGATATATTTTCAGAATTTCAAAATATGAGTCATTTAGTTAAAATATTTTCATTCAACTTGTTTCTTTTTGAGAAATTTTTAGAAAATGCATTTTTGGAGTGTCATTTTTCAAAAATGCCACTTTTTCAAAATTGTTTATTCATTATATCATTTATGTTTAGATTAATTATGTTGTATTATAGTTTAGTATCGAGGGTTTAGAGTTTGTTAAGGATCAAAATATTTTTTAGGGTTTAGAATATCGAGATTTCTGTTTTAAAAATACATAATAAATGACATTTTTGCAAATGGATAACCTAAAATTATATTTTTGCAAATATACACACCAAAAATAATATTTTTGCAAATATACACACCAAAAATAGTATTTTTGCAAAAATGTCACATTTTTAAAATCTTTGCAGAAATGCCACTTTTTCAGAAAAATAAATTCATTATATTATTTATGTTTGGGTTAACTATATTGTATTAAGATTTAGTTTTGAGGGTTTAAAGAGTTTTAGGAGTCAAGACATTTTTTAGGATTTATAATTTTAAGATTTAAGTTTTAAGAATCTATAATTAGTGGCATTTTTACAAATTGACACTCCTAAATAGTATTCTTGCAAATGTAAATTACCCCATTTCTCCTCGAACTATTAGACAAAGTAAGGCTGCCAAATAAGTGAATATCAAATAAATATCTAAGCGAGTAGAAATCAGAAGATAAATAATCTATATAAGTTTTTGAAGTCCGTCTTTCAATTGGATTGCATTTGCAAGTTGTGGGAAATTAATGTTTTAAAGAAGCATGAATGTATGTATATATCTCTGGTCCCATTTACGAATATATAAATCACTTTGATGTTAAAAAAACAA